GTTTAATATATAAAGTCTTACACTCCCTTGCTCCACCACCACTAAAGCAATTTGTTTTAAGGCAAAGGTTAAAAACTGGTTATGGACAAATCAAGTGTGTAATCATGTATAAGTTGTATATAGTTTAAATGTTTTATTTGGGAACAGAATAGTGTGTATGTGTGAGTTTGGTGATGGAGTTTTTATTATGAATGAATTATGAATTATTATGTCTATTTTTTTATGTTTTATGGACAAAAGATGGAAATTAGCCCTTAGCTATAATCTGGTATGTTTATATTCATGTAATTACTTTACATTTATGTTCATTAACATGCACTGTCTTAAATAAATTAAAATAAAATAACAATGTTAGTATTTAAAGTCCAACATCTCCCTCTAGTGGTCATATATAAACCATGTGGGAGGATGGTGTTCATTCATCAGTCTTGTGTCTAACACAGACACACAAACATTCACATCTACGACCAATTTAGACTCACGGGTTAATCTAACTGCCTGACTGTGGGCTGTGGGAGAATCACAGTGCCCAGAAACAACCACGCAGACCCCACACAGAAAGATGGAGGCTGGATTCAAACCCAGCACCTTCTTCCACTCAGACAACAGCATCACCATGCTGCCTCAGGGGGACGTCCACTAAATGGTTATAATGGTTATAGTTTGTTTCATTAACTAAGCTGCAACACTGACAGCAGACTGAAGTAGAGTCAACGTTTTAAATGATATTTTTAATTGATTTCTTGTGAATGAAGTCATAAATCTCATTTATTGATTATCACTCAAATATCATGTAATCATCTCAGTTAACCTCAAATTATGTCAAAACAACGTTGCTGGTTTCTTAACTTTTGAAAGCACAAAAGATTTTATGTGTTTCTGTGTGTTACACGTAAAAAAAACAACTTAATTTTATATGTTTTACAACAAAAGAGGAACTGCAGAGTGTCTAAATTCATATTCTGGAATAAATTTATCACATGAATCATTAAGAGGTTAGAAATCCACCAATAACTCTCCAATAGAGGAAGAATGCGTGCTCAGAGGAAGAGGGCGGGCTTTACTTGGTGTCAGTGACAGAAATGAAAAAAAGCTCAAATGAGTGAGAAGGACGATGAAGGAAACATCTGTGCTGTGTCTGCTCTGTAAGTAGAATCTCTGTGTTTGTTTGAATTCTTGTACTTTGACTGTCTG